AGTTGTTTGTTTGGTTTCAGGCCATTTTGGCCCATGCAAGAGTGGCAGGGAGTGTGTGTCTGTGTGCAGGAGACTGAGTCCAGGCTGCCTCCAACCCAGCAGCCCCCCTGAAAAGCGGCTGAACATTTCATTAAATAAATAAAATGCACTGCGTGGCAGGGGTGTGGGTTAGTGTGCTGGATGTGCCATTGCGGTGAGGGTCACCCCCGAGGCTGCCTGTTGGCTGGGCTTAGTTAGCAGGTGCAAAAATAACCCCAAATCAGCTGGCACCAAGCACTCCGCATTTGGGTTGTGGACTCCGGCATGCGTTGCAGGGAAGGTTTGGTGTCGCTGGGCAAAGAAGTTTGGGAGTCCGAAAGCAGCGAGGGTCAGCCCCTCATATGCTCTCCGTGTTTTCACCAGCAAAACTAGGGAGGTTTTTCTAAAATCTTTCGCAAGGGAGCCCTGTTTATGACGCAGTTATAACCCCATGTGCATTTTGCTCAGTCAGTAGAGCACAATACAGTGGTACCTCGGGTTACAGACACTTCAGGTTACAGATTCCGCTAACCCAGAAATAGTACCTCGGGTTAAGAACTTTGCTTCAGGATGAGAACAGAAATCGTGCTCCAGCAGCACGGCAGCAGCAGGAGGCCCCATTAGCTAAAGTGGTGCTTCAGGTTAAGAACAGTTTCAGGTTAAGAACGGACCTTCGGAACGAATTAAGTTCTTAACCCGAGGTACCACTGTACTCTTAATCTCAGGGTTGCGGGTTCAAGTCCCACGTTGGGCAAAAGATTCTTGGACTGCAGAGGGTTGGGCTAGATGACCCTTGTCGACTCTTCCAGCTCTCCTTTCCTCTGTTTCTATAATTTCATTTCCTTCTGACCTCACTATTTACCACTCTGTAATATATGTATCTTACGTGGGTGGCGCTGTGGTCTAAACCACTGAGCCTTGGGCTTGCCGATCGGAAGGTCGGCGGTTCAAATCCCCGCGACAGTGTGAGCTCCTATTGTTCGGTCCCTGCTCCTGCCCACCTAGCAGTTCAAAAGCACGTCAAAGTGCAAGTAGATAAATAGGTACCGCTCCGGAGGGAAGGTAAAGAGCGTTTCCATGTGCTGCTTTGGTTCACCAGAAGCGCTTAGTCATGCTGGCCACATGACCCAGAAAAACTGTGTCGGCTCCCTCGGCCAGTAGAGCGAGATGAGCGCCGCAACCCCAGAGTCATCCGCGACTGGACTTAACTATCAGGGGTCCTTTACCTTTACCTTTAATATACAGTGGTGCCTCGCAAGACGAAATTAATCCGTTCCGCGAGAGTCTTCGTCTAGCGGTTTTTTCGTCTTGCGAAGCAACCCTATTAGCGGCTTAACGGATTAGCGCTATTAGTGGTTTAGCGGCTATTAAAGGCTTATCGGCTTATCGGATTAGCTGCTAAAAGGCTATTAAAGGCTTAGCGGCTTAGATAAAGGGGGGAAAAGCGAAAAAAAAATCTCAAGACTCGCAAGACATTTTCGTCTTGCGAAGCAAGCCCATAGGGAAATTCGTCCTGTGAAGCAACTCAAAAACGGAAAACCCTTTCGTCTAGCGGGTTTTCCGTCTTGCGAGGCATTCGTCTTGCGGGGCACCACTGTATGTACCTGCAACGCAGGATAGGACTTTGTGCTTCTGATGGAGTGGAGCCCATCTTGCTATAAGAAATGTGCTAGACTTTGAAGGTGCCACAAGATTGTTTTTCCTGCAAAAGGAGATCCCCTCTGGAAATGGTGACTCTCCCTCTCTTCACACCAAAAATCATTGCTTGTCGCCTCTGTGTGCTTCCCGATCTCTATTTGCTGGGATGGCCCGCACCTTATTTTTTAGAGGGCGGAAAATATCTGTACCTAGAAAATCAACAACAGATTTTCTCCTTGATTTGGTTTAAAAACAAACAAACAAACCTTTCTTGGGATGCCTTGTTAAAATGTTAGCTAGACTCGTCATACTTTAGGGTTTGCCTCTCTTCAGCAGAATGAGCGACAAATTCAGCAGTGGAGAGAATGAAGCCATACACATTTCCATCTCCAGAGGGCAGAGGGACTGTGAGAATCTCTGGGGAGTACCGTATTTTTCGCTCTATAAGACGCACCTTTTCCCTTCTAAAAAGTAAGGGGAAATGTGTGTGCGTCTTATGGAGTGAATGCAGGCTGCTCAGCTATCCCAGAAGCCAGAACAGCAAGAGGGATTGCTGTGCAGTGATCCCTCTTGCTGTTCTGGCTTCTGGGATTCAGAATATTTTTTTCCTTGTTTTCTTCCTCCAAAAAATAGGTGCGTCTTATGGTCTGTTGCGCCTTATAGAGCGAAAAATACGGTAATTGCGTCATGCACCTCATCCCTCCAAAAATGCATGAACGGCGAACACCAAAACACCAAGCAGCCTGCCATTTTGCACAGCGTAGCTGCCGAGTTGCACTTCACGTTTGTCTGGCATACCGTATCTTCAATCTGAAGTTGAAACAAAATAAAAAAATTCCTTCCAGTAGCACTTTAGAGACCAACTAAGTTTGTTCTTGGTATGGGCTTTCGTGTGCATGCACACTTCTTCAGATACACTGAAACAGAAGTCACCAGACCCTTATATACCTCAGGTTAAGAACTTTATTCGTTCAGGAGGTCTGTACTTAACCTGAAACTGTTCTTAACCTGAAGACCACTTTAGCTAATGGGGCCTCCCGCTGCCGTCGGAGCACAATTTCTGTTCTCATCCTGAAGCAAAGTTCTTAATCTGAGGTACTGTCTCTGGGTTAGCGGAGTCTGTAACCTGAAGCGTATGTAACCTGAAGCGTATGTAACCCGAGGTACCACTGTATAGTGAGAAGGTGGGGTGTGGAATTACAGTCAGACCTCAGGTTACAGATGCTTCAGGTTGTTTTTTCTGGTTACTTCCAGGTTTCAGTGGTCGCGCATGCACAGAAGCGCCAAATCGCAACCCACACATGCACAGACGCACCGCTGCGGATTGTGAACGTGCATCCCGCACGGATCACGTTCGCTACCTGAGCGTCCACTGTACTTAAAAGGGTGGTGGGGATGGGTGATTGGCTGATAGGTGTGGTAAACCTGTTGATGACTGTATCACCCATGAAAGCTCATACCAATAACAAACTTAGTTGGTCTCTAAGTTGCTACTGGAAGGAAAATTTTATTTTGTTTCGACTACGGCAGACCAACACTGCTGCCTACCTGCAACTTCAATCTGAAGGTGTGCTGTTTTCTTTTCCTTTAAATTAGTGCAAAGCAGGGCTGTTCCACAGCAAATCCATGCCGCATACAGCTGATGTTTTAGGAGTCTTCAGCTCCAGTAGAGTTGGAAGCGACGTCATCTAGGGCCAACCCACTGCCAATGCACAAATCACAACTAAAGATGGGGAAAGTGGTCCTTCATAGGAGAATCATGCCCCACTTTTTGTCTGCAGAAGTTGGGCCCTCCCTTCCTTTTTCCAGTGCACCTGCTTGTCTGATTTGTGAACCTTTGGGTCTTCATTTCCTTTATTCTTGGGAGGCTGTGCACATCAAAACCAGATCAAAAGTGTGTCTCTCTGCTTAATGAGTTTAAGACTTCTGAACATTTTAGGACTGCAGCCCGGGTGCCAATTCTTTTTTCCCCTCCAAGTGTACATATGAGGCATTGAAATATGAAAGAGCAGCATATTGTACTTTTTGTCCATCAAATAATTTTTGGAAAGAAATCTAAAAGTGCACATGCAGTTAATGATGCCATTAAAATGTGCTGATAGCTATTTTCTAAATATAAAGAGCTATACAAGTTTTGTTCTTCCCTGGTCTGCTGAACAATGCAGTTTACGCCTCTAATTCTGAGAGTGCCTTGAATCTGCTCCTTCCCAGCATCCTAGACTCACTTTTCCAAGTGCAAGGCTACAGTCCTAATCCCATTTACTTGGGAGTAAACCCCATGGAAGTGAAGAGGATTTACTTTTGAGTAGACATAGGATTATGTTGTTAATATGCCCCTCGCTTCCTCCAATCCTATTTTAAAAGCAATTAGGCAGAGTTTACTTAGTGTTACTGGTGTTATTTAGTAGGAAGCTAATACTGATTTTAAACCATCGCTTTGCATTGACCAACTGGTTTTTGCAATAATATAGTGGATGCATTTTTACATTTCCAGGGTTGTCAAGCTACTAAGCAAAAGATCAGGGTTGTGGGAATGTTGCAGTACAAGCAAAGAGGGATGGTTTTCTGGCACTGTGAATGTTTATTTTTCTTTACCTGAATGGCATTATGTATTTGTATCTTTCTTTCATCCTAGGAGCTCAAGACTGTATATAATAAAATAATAATAATAATATTATTACCATTGTCTATCTGGTTGTGTATTACTATTCACTTTATACGGCTTCCAACAAAACATTTAAAATGCAATCTTGTCTTCCCTTTCCCTTCCCCCTTTTAAAACTTTCACAGCAGCCCTTTGAGGTAGGCTAGACTTGGGAGTCGGTAGCCCAGGCACCAAAGTTGTGAACCTGCATGTACTTAGAGTATTTGTTGGTTGTTTTTATTTATCAGGGTTGCCAAATTTTCTTTGTTTTTGTATTCTGTAAATATTCGGACTCTGAAGTCTTGCAGTTAAAGCAAAGGGTGGGGGGCTGTTTCGTGGCTGTGTGCATGTTTAGTTTTCTTTCCATCCATGGCACTATATATTTAGAGCTTGCTTTTCCTTCCAGGAGCACAAGGTTGAGTACATTGCCCTCCCCACCCTCCCCTTTTATCTTTGCAACAGCCCTGTGAGGTAGGCTAGGGAAGGTTAATACATATGCCTAAGTAGCAGTTCTTGCCAACAGATTGCAGGTGTGGGTAGGTGCAATCCACAGTTTACCAGGGCCCAGGAAATCCTGTTGGCATCCCTGCAAGTAAGAACTGCAGCCCATTGCACAATCTTTTTTGTTGCATGAAAGCAGTCCTCTTATCAGGGGCACAAAATCATTTCCAGAAGCAAAATAAAAAAATTCCTTCCAGTAGCACCTTAGAGACCAACTAAGTTTGTTATTGGTATGAGCTTTTGTGTGCATGCACACTTCTTCAGATACACATGTGCATGCACATGAGACCTCATACCAATAACAAACTTAGTTGGTCTCTAAGGTGCTCCTGGAAGGAATTTTTTTATTTTGTTTCCTCCACGGCAGACCAACACGGCTGCCTACCTATATCCAGAAGCAAATGATACACTTCCCAGCTGGGTTGTGTGAATCAGTCTTGGTTCTTCGCGACATTGAGTCCTGTGTGATCCAGAAGCTTGCATACCCTCACGCCTCCTGGCAGATAAGACAACATACCTAAAGCATAGCTTCTTGCGGGCCTGACATTGGCACGTGGCAGCTGCCCACAGGACCTACAGCCTCCAAAAAACAAAAATTCCCAGGCGACTGGGCCTGGAAGCCAACTTATCAATGCCCTGCAGAGCTTCCTGATGTGAGATTGCTTTGGAACGTTGTGGGGAATTGAAGGAGAGTGTTTGGGCTTCACATGAATTTCCCACAAGGCGCTGAACTGATGTGTCAGAGGGCAGTGTAGGAATGTTAAATGCCAGCTCCCAGCTGCTGTTACTGCCACCACCAAGTCAACCTAACCGGGTCAAATGATTTAGGAGGGGTCCCTTCAGCATCTCCAAAACTGGAAGCCCACCTTGGTTGCGTGGCGAGTTCCTCCCCTCCCCCTGTGGAAATAAAGACACATGACGCAATTATTAAGGTTAATGGGCTAAATAAGGCCACAACTTTATTGGGTACAGGTGATGAGCGGTATTGGCTTAGGCATTGGTCCTAACCGACTATATCCGACTTCAGCCCGTCCGCTTGAAGTCCGGGAAGGGTTAACCACCAGTGGGGGAGTCCTGCTGATGCACATCAACTAGGAACTCCCCCGGGGTCACCGATAGGGGGCATGCCTTAGGCCCTCACTTCCATAGGCTTTGGACAGGGCCACGCCCCCCGGAATCCTTTATGGGACTACCCTTCAATATGTGGGGCAGGTGATGGCGCTTCCTCCCCTCTTCCATCTACAGAACTACAGTGGTACCTCAGGTTACATACGCTTCAGGCTACAGACTCCACTAACCCAGAAATAGTACCTCAGGTTAAGAACTTTGCTTCAGGATGAGAACAGAAATCGTGCTCCAGCAGCGCGAGGCCCCATTAGCTAAAGTGGTGCTTCAGGTTAAGAACAGTTTCAGGTTAAGAATGGACCTCTGGAACGAATTAAGTACATATCCAGAGGTACCACTGTATGCCAATACCAATGCCTAACCCCCAATACCCAGAAAGTTGTGACAATTTGCTACGAGGTAGGCGAAAACCAAGTGGCTGGTGCCAATTTGCCAAGTGGAAAAAATCCTACCAGGTCCCTCAACAGCGACCAACCAAGGTCCAGGAACAAAAACCTTATAGGGCGGGAGGGTGGGAAACAGGAACAGCTGGTAGGCGGCAAAAGAGGGAGATCCCTGTCGCAACTGTGTTAAATAGGGCCAGTCCCACCCCCAGAGCCAGCCAATTGGCTGGCCAGGGGTGACGTGGCCCGGGGATTCCCCCAATCGCGAGACCTCTGCAGGCGGAAGTGGCTCTCTCAGGACATAGATTTGCACCATAAGTTGGCCCTTCCGTGCTCTGCTATGGTCTTCCCACAAAGAACCCTGGGAACCGCAGTTTTGTAGGAGCGGGGCGGAACTAGAGCGCTCAGCACCCACCCCAATTCCACCAGGGTTGATCTTGCTCTCTTGCCAACTGTCCTCTGCTCGTGACTTCCAGGACACGGACGCTCCAGCGAGGACTGTGGGGACGACCGCCCGCGCCACCGAGACAGCCACCTCCTGGCGAGTCGTCTGGAACGAGACCAGGAGAAGCTCCTCAGGTGACGCCCCCGTGGGTGGGCTGTGTGGAGCGCAGGTGGTGCTTGGGGAGCTGCTTGGCAGCCGGGGATCCGGGAACGGTGGACTGCAGGGAAGACCTGGGCTGCTGGGCGGCTTCTTCACAATTCTGTGTCTCCGTTTGGTGGGCGGAGGAGGAACTGAATGGGGGTGGTGGAAATGCAGCTGCCGCTAAATAGCTGTTTCTGGGAAACATGAGGTGTTGCCCCCCACCCCGTCCTGTTTTGGGGCTTCCGATTGGGGCATCTGGTTGGCCACTGTGGAAAACAGGATGCTGGACTAGATGGGATCTCTCTGGTCTGTTCTTGTTCTTGTTCTCCTTCTCCTCCTCCTCCTCCTCCCCCCCTCCTTTTCCTCCTTCTCCTCCTTTTCCTTCTCCTCCTCTTTTTCTTTCTCTCCTCCTCCTCCTTCTCCCCTTCTCTTCCTTCTCTTTCTCTTTCTCCTTCTCCTCCTCCTTCTCTTTCTCTTTCTCTTTCTCTCCTTCACTTTCTCTCCTCCCCTCCTTTTCCTCCTCCCCTTCTCCTCTTTCTCTTTCTCTCTTTCTCCTCCTTCTCCCCTTCTCTTCTTTCTCTTTCTCTTTCTCTCCTTCTCCTCCTTCTCCCCTTCTCTTCTTTCTCTTTCTCTTTCTCTCCTCCTCCTCCTCCTCCTCCTCCTCCTCCTCCTCCTCCTCCTCTCTCTCTCTCCCCCCCTTCTCCTCCTCCTCCTTCTCTTCTTTCTCCTCCTCCTCCTCTTTCTCCTTCTCCCCTCCTTCTCCCCTCCTCCTCCTCTTCTTCTTCCTTTCTCTTCCCTCCTCCTCTTTTTATTCATATATATCTCGCCTTCCCCCCCCAACTGGGACTCAAGGCGGCTCACAAAAATTTAAACAAAGGCAGATGAAGCACATATAGATGAGAACATGTAAAAGGTTAATGTTAACGTTAACGAGCGATTAAGCTACCTGTGGGGGTTAAAGCAATACAAAAACCAGATTCGTTAAAATACGGATAATATAACAGCAAAGCTCTTTCCATAAAAAGCAGTCAGTTCCCAAAGGACTGCCAGAATAATAATAATAAAAACCTTTGCCCGCCAGCGGAAGGGAGCAAGTCTGGCCTCTCTAAGGAGGGAGTCCCAAAGCCTTATGTTCTTAGTCTAATTCCCATGCCTTGGAATAAATGTCAGCTCTGTAATATGTCCCCAGTATACCAGTGCATCAAAGTTTCAAAGATCCTTTCACTATTTTATCACTTGTGGTTTGCTGCCCTGGGCTACTTTGGGAGGGTGGTCAGAATATACATTTAATAAATAAATGTGTAACTTGAAATTCAGATTTTGTTTTTAAAAAATAGCACAATGCATTTTAAGCTGTGGTTATGATGAATTTGGTATATGGTACCATAATGGCACTTCCCGGCACTTTATAACAAGGAAGCAGAAAGTATCTACAGTTACTCTGACCCCCCCCCAACAAAACAACAAAAAAGCCAGCCCACCCCCAATTTGGGCAGCTTAGGGTTGCACAGAACAGATATTTATGAGTGTGTCGGGACTGTGGAACTAAAAGCAAATTCCTGGGCTGAGCGTGTGCCCAGGGGAAGATGTACGTAGTGCCCAGAATTGGGCACAGGCCTCCAGGTGTGGTCTGAGCAAGACATAATAGTGGGGGACTATGATTTCCCCAGGACTATATACTTCTGTTGATGCAGCCTAGAATAGCTATGGAAACTTGCGGCTGATGGGAGTTATAATCCAAACCCTTGGTGGGCACCAGGTTGGCAAAGGCTGCCCTCGCTCCTAATCCTTTCCCTCGTCTTTCCTCCCCTTAGAGAAAGCAAAGAGCTGGCCGACTTCGCGCGGATACATCCTGCTGGTTGCACTGCGAACGGTTTGAACTCCAACCTCATGGTGACTGGGGGCCCCCCCTTGACTGGCTCAGGGCGGTGGTCCGCTGACCCCGCGTCTCACCTAGCGACTCACCCATGGCTGCCCAGAACCAGCAGCTCCTCCATGTGGTTGGCAGGGCATCCCTACGGTGAGTCTGCGGGGCAGGGGTTCCGCTTGCTGGCGGGATTGCAGGATTGGACCGGCACCTACCGAACTTGAGGGGCAGGTGGGTGGGCTGGCAGAAGGTCTCCGCTCTTGTGGGGAGGGGCAGCATCCGTCTGGGCAAATAATCTGTGAAGGCCTCACCTGGAGCAGTTTCGTTCCAGCAGCACCGTTTCCTGGACTGCTGTTTCCAAAGACAGGGAGCCAGGTCATTCGTTCATTCATTCATTCATTCATTCATTCATACATACATTCACTTATATGCCACATTTCATTGGAAGATCATAGGGCAGTTATGCAATATACCGTATTGGCCCGAATATAAGCCGCACCTGAATATAAGCCGCACCTTTAAAATTCAAGGGGAAGAAAAGAAAAAAAACACAATACCCGAATATAAGCTGCTCCCTTAAAATTCCGCACGCACTCACCCCCGTTCTGTTTTACCTTATGTCTGTTTCAGCAGTGATATCGTAAAAGCCCATTTTTGTAAGGTCGTGACTTTAAGTCGCACTTTAACTTTTCACGGTCGGAAATTTGAAAAAACTGCGGCTTATATTCAGACCGATACGGTATAAACACAAAAATGCATAGCATAGTAAGAGACTTAAACAATACTCCCCAGTTTGAAAGGCCATAGGTGGTTTAATTAGCCAAAGGCCTGGGAGAAGAGGGAGGTTTTCTTCTCGCACCTCAAGATACGTAGTGAAGGCGCCAAGAGAGCCTCGAGAGGGAGAGCTTTCCACAAATGGGGAGCCACCACAGAAAAGGCCCTGTTCTCGTGTTGCCACTCTCCGGACCTCCTGCGGAGGAGGCACACAAAGAAAGGCCTTGGATGGTGATCACAGGGTCTGGGGTGGTTCAGATGGGGAGAGGTGGTCCTTGAGAGAATTGTGGTCTGGAGCCGTTTAAGGCTTTTTGGGTCAGAACCAGCACTTTGAATTGGGTCCGGAAATTGATTGTCAGCCAGGGCAGTCAGGCTGGGATCAGTGTAATATGCTGAAGCCGTCTTGCCCCGGTGAGCAACCCAGCTGCCGAATTCTGCACCAGCTGAAGTTTCCGAACCGTCTTCCGAGGCAGCCCCACGTATAGTAATCTCTAGTCCTTTTTCTCTTAGGTCTTGGCCACCCTTCGTTGCACCAAGGCATGACTCCCGGCTTCCCCGCTGGCATGGGGGGAGCGCTCCCTTCCGCCTACCAGTT